TCTGTTGACTGTGTCAAATGTTTTATCCATGCAATTGAGAAGACGGGAAGAAAAAGGATTGTCAAATGCGGGGAACTTCGCAAATCTGGGTGCAAACTCTGCGTCTATGCTTTCAAAGGAGAAACCGTCAAGGATGCTGTGTGCAAGGACAGCAGATTTCTCCCCTTTCTGGAGACTGCTGACTGGAGACTCATTGAAAACCTGGACTCCATTGTAGAAAGCACACAGCGAGTTGATGACTTAGAGGGCAAGCTCTTTCAGGTTGAGGTTGAGAAAAAGGGGGGCTCTAAGGTGGCAGCCACTCAGAATTGTGATTCGGCAGCCACTCAGAATTGTGATTCGGCAGCCATTCAGAATTTTGATTTGGCAGACTCTCAGAATTCGGAGTTGGAGGAAAGAAACACCTGTTTGTTAAAAGAAGAAATTGTGGCCCAGTGCCCTAGTTTGAAAAGAGAAACTGAAAAAATTAGAGAAAGCTTCAAAAGGGAATTGAAAACAAGAACGGGGAAAGAAATATTTGAGGCTCATAAAACGAACTTTGGGAAACAGGCAAAAAACTCTATCCCGGTTAAAACACTCAAAGTTCTTTCTCGTCTTAGTGCTTCAGTTGGGCACATAGAATGGGACAACAATGGGAACAAGGGTTGTGCCACCTGCTTTGTTTTTACAGGGTTGTACATTTTTACTTGTCGGCATGTAATAAGCTACATTGTGGGAAATGGAATAGAGCCAAGTAAGTGGGCAGACATAATTGGTCAATGTGTAAGGGTGACATTTGGTTACGAAGATAGACAAGAAAAAAATGAGTATTTTTCCGTTGAAACTTGGTTTGAGATATCTGATGTACCTCTTGATTATGCTGTTCTGAAACTGAAGGATGATGGACAACAAGTACCTGTTGGACTATATAACGGAATTGGTCCTGCTCCACTTAGTGGGTTGATATATATTATTGGCTATCCAGGAAATGAGGTAAAGTCTACTGATGGTTGTGTTGTAATCCCTCAGGGTCAGCGAGTACAGAAATTTTGGGAACATCTTCAGGCTGCGGGTAATGATGACAACATAGAGTATATCCATATGTACACTCAAAGAAGTTTCCAGGAAATTGATCCCAGACCTGATGTGGTTACCTATGACACCAGTTTTTACTTTGGGTCTTCTGGCTCACCAGTGTTTGATTCAAATGGTTCATTGGTGGCCATGCATACTGCTGGTTTTCGTAATCTCTTCACGAGTGAATATTCCAGTATCATTGAGTTTGGCTCCATTATGAAATCCATCCTCCATAATATTAAACAAAATTATGGAACATGGTATAAAGAATTATGCATAACTCAGGAGGATGTAGAAATGGAGTGTGTTGAGGAGGGAGAACAGTGAGAATTCAGTCTGTTTCTGAGCTTTAAGAGAATTACCTATGGAATGTAATTCCACAGGTGATGGTAGTTTTCTAAACTCCAAAATGGTTAATTTCATCAATAATAATAATAAAATTCATATAATTGACCACTTTCTATGCACCAAGCATTTTTCTAAGCATATGAAGAAGCAAGTTGTAACAATTCTATGAGTTTGGCTATTATATCCGTATTTTAAAGTAAAGCAATGTGAAGAATGATAAGATTAAGTGGTAATTATGTTTAGGGCACTAGAACTAGTATAATCATTGTGGTTTTTTCCACCTCCCATATCTTTTCCCTAAGTTCAGTTGCTTGAAGGCAGGATCTAAGACCTGTTCATCTCATTATCCCCAAAGTCTGGCACATAGAAAGTAAGTGATTAGAAAATGTGTGAGTCAATCAGTAGCAAAACTTAGGGCTCCAGTTAATCTTTTTATTTTCCTAATTGATTTTTATTGTTGAGAGTTGCCAGGGTGTTTCTCCCTGCATCTAAAAGAGTTCAGAAGCCATGGCCTGCTTGGCTCAGTGGATAGAGTGTTGGCCTGTGGACTGAAGGATCCCAGGTTCAATTCTGGTCAAGGGCAAATGCCCAGGTTGTGGGCTCTATCCCCTTTAGGTAAATTTCCCTAAAGCAAAGCAGATACACATATTGAAAGGTAAGGTTTGGTATACAGTAGGCACTGTCAGATTGAAGGATCTACCTTCAGTTGTCAGGCAGCAGGCAATAATATATGCAAATCTTTAGGTTTGGGGAAATGCTTTCAGCTATTCCAGCAGGCAGCAATATGTATCTTCAGCCCTGCTGAAGCCCCAAGTTCCATCCTTTTCATGAAACTTCTTGCATTTCTGACATGCTGGAATTAGCCTCCAGCAGAAAGTATTACAGATGTCCCCTATTTTCTCTCCATTTGCCCCCCTCCACCCAGCTCCCACCCTATCCCAGGACTTCATCACACTATTGTCTGTGTCCATGGGCTATACCAGTGATGGCGAACCTATGACATGCGAACTCATTTTTTTTGGTTGATTTTTCTTTGTTAAATGGCATTTAAATACATAAAATAAATATCAAAAATATAAGTCTTTGTTTTACTATGGTTGCAAATATCAAAAAATTTCTATATGTGACACGGCACCAGGGTTAAGTTAGGGTTTTTTGAAATGCTGGCATGCCGAGCTCAAAAGGTTCGCCATCACTGGGCTATACATATGCACATAAGTTCTTTGGTTAATCCCTCCCCACTTGCCTCTGAGATCTGTCAGTCTGTCCATACTTCCATGTCTCTGGACCTATTTTGTTCATCATTTTATTTTTTTCATTAGATTCCACATTTAAATGAGATCATGTGATATTTGTCTTTCTTTGACTGGCTTATTTCACTTAGAATAATAATCTAACTGAGAAGCTAAATGCTTGGTTAGAAGTTATCTCAAATAAAATCTTTTAGAATTTCCAAAATCCTCATACTATTAAAATTGTCAGGATATAGGTGTCCTGAAATTCAGAGTAATATCCACTCTTCGTGTATTTATAGGCTATCAGAAAGCTATCTTAAAGATCATATCATTTTATTCAGATGTCCTTAGTTTTAAACAAATGTCCTCTTTCTGTTCCAGGTTTCCATCCAATCTACCACATTACATATGACTGTTATGTCTCTTTAGGCTCTTCTTGGCTGTGACAGTTTTCGGAAGTCTCTTGATCTTAATGACTTTAACAGGAAGGCTGCTGATCAGGTGTTTTATAGGATGCTCTTCTACTGGAATTTTATACTTTTGTAATGAATAGACTGGGTTAGTAGGTTCTAAAGAGGTCACTCTAAAATTTCCCTGTCTTCACTTACTTATCCCTCCCCTCTCCTCTGAACCCTTGATGACCACTGATCTTTTCATTATCTTCATGCTTTTGCTTTTTCCAGAATATCATCTAAGTGTAATCATATAGTATAAAGCCGTTTCAGATTGACTTCTGTCATTTAGCAATATGCAACTGAAGTTTCTCTGTGTCTTTTCATGATCTAATAGCTTTTTTTTTTTTTATCACTAAATAATATTCTATTACATGTGTTCTAGAGGCCCGGTGCATGAAATCGTGCACAGATACGGTCCCTTGGCCTGTGATCAGGGCCATCTTCCCCAGCTGCTGGCAGCCGGCCCCACCACCCACCCTGGTTCTCGTTATCCATCAGGCAATGGGAGCCTGAGGTTGGCCATTCCTGCCTGCTTGCTGGCCCCACCCCCACCGTGGGTCACCCTCTGTGTGTGGGGTGACCAGCAGGGTGGGGGCCTTGACCTGGCACCACCCACATCCCCTGTCACCCACCACTGGTTCCCCTTTCACCATCCAGCAATCGGAGCCTGCCAGCCAGGGAAGGGGACCGAGAGGTCATCAGTGCACCTCATAGTGACTGGTTGACCAGTCGTTCTGGTTGTTCTGCTATTAGGGTCAATTTACATATCACCCTTTTATTATATAGGACTCCTCCCTTCCACAGGGTATATATTGTATCCAATTGCTATTCCTATTCTAATCTATTTCATCCAGAAGGATGCTTATTAAGTGCCTTTATCATTTGGAACAATAAATGTGGCCTTGCACACATTCAAAGTATCTTTCTTTTTAAATACAGCTTACATTCATTGTCCTGTCAGTCAGTTATAGACAAGATGCCTATCGCCACACTGCCATTGGTTTTCACTGCTCTTCCCACTTGACCTGGCACCACCCGCATCCCCTACCACCCACCCCAGTTCCCTGTTCGCCATCGGCGATCAGAGTCTGCAGGCCAGGAGGAGGGACCAAGCCCGTTCTGCCCACTTGCCAGTTCCATCTCCCTGCCACCACCCACCCCGGTTCCCCATTCACCATCCATCGGGTGATGGTTCCCCATTCATCATCAGGCGATGGGAGCCTGCCAACCTGGGAAAGGGACCAAGAGGTGGTCAATGCACCTCAGTGACCGGTCAAATGGTTGTTCTGGTTGTTCTGCCTTTATGATTGTTGGGCTTCTATTATATAGAATACTACAATTTGCTTATTCATTCACCTTTTGTAAAATCTCTCAGATGCTTCCAGTTTGAGGTGATTATAAATAAAGCCGCTATAAGCATTTGTGTACAATTTTTTGTGTGAACATATGTTTCAATTCAAATGGGTAAATACCAAAGAGGGCGATCACTAGGTTGTATGGTAAAATCTGTTTAACTCCGTAAGCATCTGCTGAACTGTCTTCCAACGTGGCTGTACCATTTTGCCCTCCCACCAGCAATGGAGGAGAGTTCATATTGATTCACATCTTCACCAGA